ATATTTAACTTATATTTTTTAATCAATTTAATTGATAGAATTATTATTACTAAATTATAGAAAAGTCTTTGTGTTAATTTAGAATAAATAAACAAGAAATACGGCCTTATAATGTGGCTTTGTCTTTTTTGGATAAGCATATAAAGCATACTACAAGATATTAGGCGCCCAAAAGATTACCTTGAAGCAATTTTTTTCAATACAGATAATGATGCATGAGGACAAAGAGCATGAAGTGAGGAGCATAGATATCAAACAAACCAAACTATATTAAATCTAGCCACTTAATTAAAAAGTTACTCTAAACTCTAAAATTTCTTTTTATTAGATTAAATTCTTTTTTCTACAATATGCCTTATTAGATCAAATTAGATTATTTTTATGATAAAAAGGCTTTCAATTAAAGACACTATAATATCAATGTTGTTTTTATTATAAAACAACACATCTAAGACCATCCATACCTTATTATTTCTATTTGGTTCTAAGCTGCAATCTTAGTTTTTTTTAAAAACCTTTGAGTAAATTAAGTAAGAAGTTACTTTACTTACTTATCTAGTGCTCATAGATTTTTACACCTACCAAATATACTTCCTACATAAAACTTTAAAAATAGATAAATATTAATTTTATTGAATCTAATATGAAAATTACTCAAATAAAAATGTTATAATGTAGATATTTTGGAATCACCTTTCTATAATGTAAAAGCATGCAATCTACCTTATAACAGAGTCCACTCACAATCAAAGTGCACTTAATTTACTTTCATCCTTAAAAATCCTAGCTTGTCTTTTACATGCCATAAGAAATTTATATTTTTTTATAGATACAATTTTCTAAAGTAAACAACTTCTTCTATCTGATTTTATTAAAGATAGAAGTAATAATTGAAGAAGTAGTATAAGTAGAAAAAAAAATATTATTTGAAGAAATCATCAACCTTAAGAGTTTGTATCCTGATGTAGGACGTCATGCTAATTTCTTTAATAATCATTTTATCAATTCTTAACTTAGACAGAAAGTCAAAATCACTTTGGAATACAAAGAAATTCCAAAGCAATATAGCTCATGCCTTGAGTTGGGCCATGATATGAGACAATGCCAATAGATACATAAACTCAAACAAAATATAAGAACAAACCATGATCATCAATTATATATACGAGCCATCTCGAAATAACAAATAATTATACATATAGTTTCTCTTGGCCTAATCAATTCTATGCAAGAGATTATTGACAACAACCATGCATAAGCCTCCATTCGGATTGTGTTGCCAATTAAAACAATCAATGCACATGTCAACTCTCTTCCTCCTTCCTCCTCTCCTTCTCCTCCCTCTTTCTTCTTCTTTCCAATTCTTCCATATCTATCCATATCCTTCCATCAACAAAAAATTTGCATAGTAAAAGTTGCATCAAAATTAGAAAGAAAGTTAAGGCTCTTAAGCCTCTATTATTAAAGCAATCAATACTTCTAATTCCTAGCAAGAAACACCCCATCTCTTCTACCATTCTAAAAGAGAAGATCTAAGAAATTATATAATTTAATCATATTTTTCTCAATAAGAATCACAAACTACAAATTTAGCCATTACTTTATACTAGAGTCAGAAATCAAAGACATTTCTTGAGCTTGAATTATGGAGAGTTATAATACAAACATATCACCTTCCCAACTAATACTACATAGACTTCCAAAAGCATCAAGTCACTTTGCTAGGAACAACTAATAGAAGATTTGTTGATGAATGTTGGCCCATGATGCAAAAGCTTAGCTACATGTACTAGAAACTTGATTTAATTGATGGATAAATGACAAACATTTTTCAAAAAAATTTATATTTGTAAAATATTAATAATTATGAAAGTCAACCAAACTAATATTTCCTTCTATTGTAACAAATTTATATACCAATGGATAGATATTGATTAATTATAAGTTTGGATATACCTTGAATAAATAATTATATGAAAAAAATATCTATCTATCTCTTTTTCTTTCTTTTTTCTTCTTTCTCTTCTAGCTTAAGCTTAAGAAATTGAATGCAAATCCATATTAAGCTATGCAAAGAATGCTCTAACCATAATATCAATAGAAAACCAATTTTCTACACTATGGTTAGATGATGGCTTTCTTTATTGTTTAACAAATAAAAAATACTCCACAAAGAAGGAGTCAACAGCCCCCACCAGTAATACTCCAAATAGAAAAATGATGGAATTTGAAACCATAGTACTTGACGCTATTTGATAAAAACTACATTTTCTCATTACCAAAGGTATCCATTCTTCAAGCTAAGATGGACTTTCTTCTTGACCAGTGTTCCTAGTAGTTATCTCAAGGCTTCTTGAGTAGATAGTAAAAAAAAAAAAAAAAAAAAATATATATATATATATCATCATTGTAATTTGATCAGCTTGAGATAAAATTTAGAGTGCATAATTGTGAATAGAGATGAGGACCGCCTAATTTGGCCCATAGTGTGCCTCCTAAAAACTAAGTGAAAAAAAAGTAAAGTACTTAAGATCTATCTCATTATAGAGATTGTCAATTGGCTATCCTTGAAGGATGCATTACAAAAACACCCCTTGCTCAAAATATACCATTTATATATCAGCAAACATATTTGCACAATGTTTTATTTTACTATGGTACTTTATATTCCATAGAGCTTCATTGAATATACCATGAAATAGAAGGTTGGGTTGAAATTTTATGCTCTCTACTTGCTCTAAACTTCTAAAATACTAAAACTACCATGGTTCAATATTGAGCCTAATATCATCACGACTATCAATGTTTGATTGACAAATAAACTTATTCATGTGAAATATTCATAATTTTTTTAATCCTTGTGTAAGAGCAATAAAGAGATATCGATTTTGACAACACATTAAGTCCATTTTTTCTAAAGCAAGTAATATCTTTATCAAAGAATACAAAATATCTAATACCTTATGCAATAAAATTGGCACGCTTAGCATGCATTGAGGACACAAGTAGTAGAATGATGTAGTTATTAAGCTTAAAATTCCCAACTATCAATAAAAGATAGCTATACTTCTCAGTACTACCCTTCAACATATATTGTTGAACTTCAATATATCAATACTTGATAGGGCACAATAGATCAATTACTCATTAAACAACAAGGTGATCAATTTTTTGGACATTTACGCTCCAAATCAAGACAAAAAATACCATTAATTTTGAAATGATATTAGTAATAGTATATTAATAATCAACTCTTAGATAGTGGAAGGTGATTTCAACATAGTTTAACATCCCAAAGACCTTAGTGGTGATATAAAAAAATTAACTATTGATGAGCATGAGGCATGGAATAGTTTAATTTTTGAACTTGGCCTTACAAATACATGATTTTCAAAAAACTTCAAATATATTGACTTCTATCTTTATCATGGTTCAATACAAAAAAAAAGATCATACCTACATTTTAGAATGACTAAATCACTTCTATGTTAGAAAATGGCCTAGAACAAGAAGCTATTATGTTTAAATTACCAATGGATATAAAACACTCTTCAACCACCACTCAATGCTCTTTACCTTCCTTCAACTAAATTATCTTCAAGTGAGAGCAAAGCCATTTAGATTTAACATGGCTATTATAAAGAATCCAATCATATTCTTTATAATTAAAAGCCTTTGGACTAAGGAATTAAGACCTATTCAAGAAAAACTTAAATGGACAGAGTTGTTCATCTAAGTTCTAGCTTATATTCAAACTTTTTATCAATAAGAAGGCAAGAAGAGAACTAAAACAGTTCGGATTGGTGAACAACAATTCAAATATATTTTAACATTGATCAAATATTTACTATATAACAACCTTGATAGCTCTTTCTCCAAGTAGCCAACAATAAGGTGGCATAAGAAATGCTCGAAAAAAAAGTAAAGAATGCCAAGTAGAATTCAACTCGATCCTTAACTAATTGATTTCAACTTAAAGATAAAATAAAAAATGGCTTATTTTTTAGCATACAAGAGGTCAAAATTGCCCCTCTAATTTAAAGCCTATTAGACAAAATTGGTCAAGATTTCACCATAAATGAAACCATGTCAAATTATGCTATCAACTACTATAAATCTTTATTCATGTTACAGAGGGAGTTTCCAACATCCACAGTGGCTCAAAACATATACTAGAGTAAGGTACCAAAGTTGATCACCTCAGCCATGAACTCCAAGCTTATCGATCATCTTATCAAATTTGAGATATGGACAACTCTCAAATCCTTACTTACCAAGCACACACCAGGCCTGGATAGATTCTTTGCAAAAACATTTCTTACTCTACGAGATTTCTTTGGAACCAACCTCCTCTCAATTTTTACACAAGCTCTTAAACCAGGTACCTTTAATGAATACCTCAACTTTGGCCTTCTATTTTTAATTTCCAAAGGAGGTTGTAAATAATTCCTCAAAAAATAGCACCCTATCACCTTTGGGCATAGTTTACAAGATATTAGCTAAAGACTTAGCTCTTAAAGTCCAACCTATCCTTCCTTATATCATTTGCACTAACTGTATGGGGATTTCAAAAGGTATCATTTTCACTAACCGAATGGGGTTTTAAAAAAGTAGAAGCAGATTGATATTGTATTCTTATCTTTTGAGGCAATGGATTGGGCCATAGAAACTAACCAACCCTTAGTCATGCTCCTCTTAGATTTTGAAAAGGCCTCTGATAGAGTAGAATGATTCCTAGTTTCCTAATGCAACTGTCAATGCCAGTGTATTTCGTATTAGCAGCATTGGGTTTTCCTTACAGGAACTTTACAGAATCGTTAATGAACTTTTCGTCTGCGATAGTGTGAATTAAAGCGGAACCGAGTAGAGTTGTACTGTGTGGTTGCATTTCAGTATTGCTGCGACATGAAGAAAAAAGATGCAGGTCCCTTGACAAGCCGACTGATCGATTCATGCGAAGAAGAAGACGAACACAGGTTGTGCCAACTTCGGTAGAAGAATACAATTCATCTGACTTGATTAATACCGTGTTAATTTCAAGCTCGTGAGCCCCGACCTACACAAGTTTAATTCATTCTATATCCGAATGTAATTGGAGTTCAAACTACAGACAGTTCAATTGTACAGTAAAATCTTCCTAAACCTTACAGAAGGTTGAAACTACGTCACGAAAGCTCATTATCATGAAGACAAGATAAAAAACGGGACACTGTGATGTAAAGATTCATCCCAAATAATAGAAGAGGTGCAGGCCACAGAATGAACATCCGTTTTCTTCCCTATCCTCTCAATTTCTGTACGCACAGTTTCGGCCCCTCTAACTCAGACCTATGGCCTCTCATTTTAGCTCATATTCGGAAAGAAAAGTAGCAATATTAAAGATGACAAGCAAGCGAGAGTATGTTTAATTAATCGATAATGTAATCATAAGGTAATCACTTTGCAAAAACCTTCGCAGCATATGCCTTCGCCATGGCCATGGCCTCGTCAAACCCAGCTACATTCGAACCCTACTAAATACAGGACCGCGGTGAGTCAGGATTATATACAGCGTAAGTTATTAACTAGATTGGATTATGGCGACAGCCAACAGAATTATTCTTAAAGCGTGTGGTGAATTCGCAGTAGGGATGACCCTACCACATGAGTGCTCTCTGCTTATCAACAACATCCAGATTCAACAAGGGAGGTTGAGAGATTTTACTTCTCCCTGAGCAAGTCCATCGTTATCACTGTTGCCTGTGCCGTTGATGGGCACTAAGCTACCCTGTAGCCAATCCAACGCTCCCAAACCTTGTTTGGCAGCAGAATTAGGTACGAACGCGCAGATTAATACCTTATTTCTCTGCTCATCGACACTGAATAACATTACTGCAAGGTACTGCACAAATTCAGAAAAAAATCCAAATGACATTCATCATATCCATAATTTAAGAGCAGTTCCTGAAGCAAAAAAAACAAAAAAACAAAAAAAAACTGATAAAACCCTCTGATAAATACAGCTGATGCACTTGAACGTAAATATCACAATTCTTACAGGGACTAGTGAGGACATTAAAGACAAACTCACACCAGTAGTGCACAAAAATGTAAAATATGCGTGATGACGCGCTGAACAAACCTTGTGCTTCTCGATAACAAGAGAAGCAGCCTCTCTGACGGCATTGGCATCCAAACCATCATCAATTCTTAGCACACAGTACTCTTGACATAGAGCAACTGCTACATCAGCAGAGGTCACAGCCTCATTCAATTTTAATTGCAAACTTGCTGCTCCAGCGGACTTCTGAGCTTGCTTGATGCCCTCCTGGAGGAACACTTAGACTCAAAATTTACGCACATTAACGGATTTCTTAGCGTAACATTCACGCAATGGCCATCTTAGAGTAGACCACAAGTGTGTTTATTTCTCGGAAGGGGTCCTTAACAGCACAATGATACATAGAATTGTGATGTACAGTGTCTACTGATTATGCAGAACTAATAAGTAGAATCATTACCAGATTTCAAATGTCTATACGTATCATCGTAACAATTTTTCTGATTTAAAAATACCTCCGATTCAAGATGACTTCTTTGCTATTAATTATCCGAAATAGCCCATCACTGAACCCTGAGTCATGTGTAGATGTGTGTTGGTAAGCACTACGTTAATCAAGGGAAGTCCCGAAAAGCATAGAAAACAGGTAGCCGGAGCACCTGGAGTTCACTGAACCGACCGCGGAACTCGGCCTTCTTGGCAGCTGGCAGAATAGCAGTTTCCAATAGGTTCTTCAAAGCCGAAACTTCCTGTATGTATATTGAAGCTTGTCAACGAGAAACTGGCGGAGATTCTGTTTCATGCACAATAAAATGAAAGCAAAACTTCTGAATGCGAACCTGCCCTTAACAGCAAAGGGGCAATTGTAAATCTCACCAATTCAGGTTGCTGTCAAACTATTGTTTTCATTATGTACTGCAGAGAAGGCAGAGCTGTGCATGCCACCATACCATATTTTGTAACGTGCATGAGCGGAGAGGCCAAATTCAACTTTGCATAAAAAGCTAACCCTGTTCAAAGTGAGCTGCAAAGACTTCTGACTTGAAGTCAAAGATTTAATGTAGCGTTGACCGCAAGGTTCTTCCGAATCTTTCATCTTGATTCCTCTCCAATTTATACTGTGCGCAGGGTAACATGTTCAACAAGCTCTAGTGAAGGGAAAATTTTAAAAAGGGGTGCATCTCTTAGTCCATGGGATGAAATCTAAAAGATGGATCTAGATTTGCTCAAGAGGGTTAATGCCAAAGGTCATGTCTGTTCCAGAGCCAATGCCTGGAGTTACGGTTAAATTTGTTACCCACATTGTTCAGGCGCCACGAAAAAACCAGCATAGAATCCTAACTGACGAAAATCTGACGATTAGCAAACGGACAAGGCTGAGACAAAAGGGAGGTCACATGGCGTTGAGTAATAGAACTAGCGAGAGCACTGAATTAGTAAGAGTTGCAATTCGCCTGAAGTCAAGCCTATCTTAAAGTTCCGTTCCATGCCAGGACATAGACACAAAGTAGCAGAAAATAGAAGGCTTCTATTAACCCAAAGGAGTAGAGTAGTGACCCCCACTTTCTTCAGAGCTGCACCTTGCATTTTATTGGCATCATCAATTTGAGCACTGAATACTAAAATCTGATGAATCGCTTGGCATTCTGTATGCATCGTGAATGCAGTTACTCGCCTCCCACCCTTTGCAATTCTCTTCTCCGAAACCATTGCAAGAGCTTCAGCCTCGTTTATGTTGCTGAGATGGGTGCCTGATTCCACACATACCTCAAAAGCAGGAACACGAGTATTGAACTTTGAAGTTCAAGGAATGCAAGACGAAGAAGAAAACCTCCAACAGTACGAAACGGAAGATACAACTTGGCAAACGGGAATGTCTATGTCTCTTTCTCTCTCTCTCTCTCTCTCTCTCGCACCATCTCCACCACAAACCACTACCCATTGCCCAGAGCGAACTTACAATCCCAAATCTCCCCGCAAACTGAACTAATTTGAACTTCTAGCCAATACTCTCCAGAAATTCGAGGGAGCCTTCATAAACCACATTCTTTCATGCAAGAAAAATTCTCCAGAATCCATATGAGTATCTTGTCCAAACCGCCAGTGAGTGAGATAGACCTCGCAGCTGCAGCGAGAGTGTCGACAGCTGAAGCCATTTTGCCCGCTGACCTTTTTCAGACAACTCTCGGTCCCCACCTACAAGGACTGGAAACTACAGTATGTGTGTTAATTCTTTCTATTGAACTTCAAAGTTATCTTAGCTATGAAATTTGAATCCACCCATGAAAGGATTGATGAACGAGAGGACAAGTCCGCGAGATGAGGAGGCATCCCTCAGCCGTAGGAAACAGGCAACTCTCCCATTTCTAAGCTTTACAGATGATCTAATGTCTGTCTAGCGAGGATTCTTGCTATCTGGGCTTCTTGCTTATTCTTAGTAGCAGCCTTCAAGCAGTCAGGATCTGTTCCAGCAATTCCATTCGATCTCCAGACGCCGTCGAAATGTTTCATGCTTTTTCCGAGGAGTTATGGTTTGTTTGCATACAGGGTTGACGTTGCGCGTGTTACCCGTGACACCGCGATGGAGGGAAGCTTTGCTGTAAAGATCGTGAGCAGTGTGCATCTGGCTCTTCCAAACGATCTATGGGTTTTTATGCCCAACAACAGATCCACTAATCGGATCGCGGTCACATGTCAAGGTGATTTATGAATATCATGAGCCAACTTGGCATGTGATCGTGCTTTGCAGGGAAGGCATTTGTGCTGGAAAACAAATACGATGATTTTGGGTTTCTAAATATATTCCATTTTTATATATTACTTCTTTTTCTTTTGTTTCATTAGTGGAAATATAAAGGGAAATTTCAACGTCGGTTGTCATCGACGGTTGCGGAGAGTTGGCGAAATTTGGACATTGCGCTGCCACTCGGTAAAAAATGGACGTCGACAGATGTTTAGGTTTCTATAAGTGCTAATGCGGTTATTCCAGTCTGTGGAGCACTGCGGTTTCGATTTGCGACCTCTCTCACTTGCCAATTTCAAAGACGAGTGCCTCATGTTTGCGAATTTCAGTACTGTACGCATGAGTTCTGGAGCTTCGGGGTGGCTCTTCCGAGTGTGACAAGCAACGTTGGTTAGTACTTGAAAATTAGGGCTAAGGGTTTGCGGGATTTGTTGGGTGCCGGACGAACGATTTCGTGGGAAAGATGTTGCCGAGTAGCGTGCTGGAGGGTGCGTGCTCAATTCCGACCTTGTTTCGTGACTCCTGTTGTGGATTGCCCTCGCTTCACGTCTTCGATCGGCGACTCTGCAGCCCATCGGTGAGGGTGCCAAGCAGGAGTGGTTGGCAGTCTGGGACGATTCGGGCAGTGATTTCTGAACCTTCCGCTAGTGACAACGCCGGAGAGAGTGCGGCAGATTTTGTTAAGAGGGCGGAACGAGCGTGGATGATATCTAAGGTTAGTGTTTCAATGTTTATCTTTGCGCTTGAAATTTAGTTGCGTAATCAAAATTGCGACATCAATCGTAACACACACACACACACACACACACATAAACACACATCCTGAGATAAATCTGATTAGTCACCTAGTTCAGTTTCACCCTACTTGTTACTTGCTTCGTCGAACCACATGAATACGCAATACTGAAATGGTCTTTATATATTCTGTGTTTTGGATTGTGATTGCAGACAAGAATTATCTGGAATAGATGATAGTTTGAATTTTAAGTGTCACTGTTTTATAGAAAGTAACCTATACTTGAATTTTTGTGGACGACAGCAACCGCGCCCACTAAAATGCACATCGTGTGAAGCAAGTGGAAGCAAGGAATGCGTCTGGTGTAAGGGTACAGGTTTCTTCATTCTTGGTGATTCTATGCTCTGCGAAGTGCCTTCACGCAACACCACTTGTGTCATTTGTGCTGGCCAGGTTAGCCTTCCTCTCAATGTAAATTTTGCAGTACTAACTGCAAGTCTTAGTGTCACTTTCAAATTCCTTGGAAATGATTACATATGAGCTGATTCTGTTACACACTTCTCTGAAACGTTGTTTTCCAAAGCAACTTCGCGTAGCTCTTTCAAAGTGCCTTTGATGTAGTGCTATATTCAGAATATAATAGACGGATACAACTGTAAAAGTTGAATTTATTGCAAGAGGCTGAGCTGATTTCGGTTTTGCAGGGAGCTATTCCTTGTAAAGACTGTAAGGGCACAGGCTTCCGGGCACAGTGGTTGGGACCACCTCCAGTCGAAGGCCACAAGGACGGTGGAGCGGATTCCCCTCAACCTTGATTATCTAATCACTTGTAAAATTTTCGTCTCGTTGGGGTTTGAGCATCTGCTAGGATTGGTCCCAAGCGAAATGACAACCGCTCATGGATCGAGAAGTTGGATGGGCTCTGCCAGAGGCTTGTCTATTTTCTCAGGACAAGGTTCAGATCCACGTTTCCGCAATACTCCTCTTTAGATAAATTGATTGGTGAACGGGACGGTCACAAATATGCATTCAATTATTGGTTTAGGGTTTAGTCGAGCTCAAAATTTCCGTCGTGGGCGTGGATCGTCTCAAATGGTGTCGCTATTTCATGCTTCCCGATGGTATGTATGTACTATATTTATTTACAGCTTGTCATGAAGAGCCAGATTGTACAAGAGCAAACTACTACCTGGGCTTTTGATGTCTTGAAGCTGTGGAATTGGTGTATAGATTGGCTATGAGTAAATGTTTTTTTCTGATTGGAATGATTGGATCTTTCACCAACCAATTTTTGCTTGTTATGAACGTAACGAAATAATTCGTTCAAATTTCGTTTCTTGTAACAGCTGGATAGATTTCTCTTGGTTTCTGCCGGTGTAAATGGTCTAAAATTCAAATTATTTGACTGAGGAGTACGTCTTGTGTGAGGAGATTATTAGCGATGTAACCAATATCAGAAAGTGGATCCCGCTGTTCACGACGATTACTTACTGATTAGTTAATATGACGGTTTCAGAGGTTTTTGGTTTTGAAGAAAGCTCATGGGTGTGGAATAGGAGGCATAACGGAAAATATGAAGCCTTTATTGAAGGTGTGAAGGAATTGTTACGCAGCTTTCTTTCGTGTCTTGGTACATAACGAGCTCCATGCGGTGCAGTTTGTTTAATGTACAGTATGTACATTGCGATCGTAGCATGCTTAGGAGCACTACCCCTAGTCTAACCTAACCGCACAATCATTTCTCAAATTCCCGACATAGTTTGATCGTCGTTTGTTTGTAAAAGAGGACTGGTCGTGAGCCTTGTCACAATGCCTTACTGCCACGCATAGAAAATCACTGAAGATGATTTTGCTGTCGCAATTCTGAGCCGCATCAGTAAGATTCCCAAAGAAGGGAGTACGAATCTCTTGCGGATATCTCCCGAGTCTCCAACCCCGAGACATGTCTGAATGATCTTCACCTCTTTCGAACTGCTTGTATCTCAGTTCGGCTGTAAAAATCCATGGTATTGTGTTAATTTCGAAAAAAGCTCGACACCCAGAATCGTTCGCGTGCTCATTCCCAATCAGACGGATGCATGGTCATGGTGAAAAGCCAGAACAAAAAATGTGACAATGGTACGAAATCCTTGTGCATACCTTAATAAACTGAAACGTTGTAGGGCCCAGCCCATCGCGGTATGTGAGCATGGGCTCCATCGACTTGCGACGTCGTTGTCTGCTAAGAACGCGCTTTAGAGTTTTACACATCGACAACTGTGAAACATGGCAATCGAAAAAACGAACTGTCTCAGCACATGAAAACAGATTTAACAGCGGATAGGAGATAAAAATTTCAACAAAAGACGATGCCTAATTGAGTATCCTATTACGAAAAGGAAAATGTGATCACCAAGAATCGGACGCGTCGTCGTGGTTTTCCAAGGGAAGCCTTAAGAGGAGACTCCTTCCCTTTCCACCGCTGCGCAATGTGATTTGCAGCTGGCGACAGAAGATCTAAGGCAGCCGCATATGCTGGCGAAGGCGATGCTTCCTCAAGCCCATTGCTGAGAATCGTGTGCCGTTCCGCTCGCGAATGATTATAGGCATTGGCACTGAAGTCCTGGCTTGAACTGGGTTTCCTCCCAGAATATTGCCGCAGAAGTCGAGGACTTAAATCTTGAATGAGCTGCCTTTTCGTAGATTCGGTACATGAAGCGAGAATTTGTTCTGCAACGGATGGCATTGTGTAAGGGAGTCTGGAGGGACGTTTCGGGGACTCCAGTGCACTTGACTTCTCGCTTGCTTGCAGCGGCACTGATTGCCTTGTAGCCGAATGTTTGGGAGGGAGTGGCTCGCCTTCACAGTTGAGATATCCACTTGACGTTGGAGCTGTCCGTTTGTCAAGCAGACAAGAGTTGTCTTCGGCAGATGTGGATGCCGTTGTTGCAGCGGCATCATTGAGCTTAAGGAACTGGAAATACTTGCCAACTTCAGGAGACCAAACCTCGGGATTATGTGCTGTTCCTTGATGCTTCTGGCTTCTCTGTTTGTCGAAGGATTTGTTTCCAGCATCAGAAGATCCTCTCGTCCTGTAGGAATAGGGTACCTTTCTAAAAGAGTCTGCCTCAGAATGATGATAAGCGGAATGTTGATTCGGCAATGCATTGCATGAAGAATTCTCCGATTCAACAAAATCTTCCTCAATGGACTCGTGAGAGGAGCTCGATTTTGATGCTGATTGGGACGCAGAACGAATAGGGTCCCTCGTAAACTCCCCAAGATCTCCACTGAAGAAGTTGTTAGACGCTGAGGTTGAGGTTTGGCTACTGCTTCCTTCAGGGCCACACAAGATACTCGTAGGCGACGAGGGCGCGTTATGGTGACTGCCCTTCTGTGCCCAAGTAGGAAAGCGTTTCGTCTCTGAACTCAACAAACTCTTGGGTTTCAGACCCGGTGAACCGGGTGTCGAAAATGCATCACCAAATGACTTGTCGGAGCTATTGGGATACAGAACGCTGTCATTAAAGGATTTGGTCAATCGCATCTGGCAACCTTCTAGAGGCGTAGAGATGCAGCGACTCAGAAAACCATGGCGTCTCCGTCGCTGATCGGAAGGGCTGACTGTTTGTGGTACTCTAGGAGGCAGACTTTTGCTAGAAGCATACTGGAAAAATGCGCGATCGCTTTGTTTCAGGACTGGCGATGACGCTGTTAAACAGGATGCGAAAAACCCAGCGAATTCAGGGTGGGAAACCCGAAGCTCCCGAGAGAAGCTCTCAGTGGTATGGTAGTAGGGGACGGCTAGTCGAGGAGGCAACTGGAGAATGCAAGGGCTTGCAGTTGGAAAACTGGTCTCTATTTTGGATTTCCCTGGCGCATATTCCCAATCGAAAGGCACCGCTACTGTGGGTGACGAGCTGAGTCTGCTGGGAGTGTTAATGGGTGTATCATACTGCTCTACTAAGAATTTCGCAGCTGCAGATCCATCAAGGTCAATAAGAGGTTCTTTCGAGCCATGACTTCTGCTAGAAAGTCCCATGCTCGTCTGTCTCGAATGCCCAAATGAAACCCCCCTACCGTAAAATCTGTGGCTGTAGATGCACCCTTCGTCGCCATTGCTAGAACCACCATCTGGAGAGCCTCGTAAATTTTCATCATCTTTCTGCAAACGATCCAGTTGAATTTTCGTAAAGTTGCTTACCTTCATGCTCTCTAATGGCGACTTGTCAGATAGTGCACGATTCGCAGTGGCATCGATGGACTTGGGCTTACCAGGCTCCTCTTCCCACTTGAATGGAATTGCAGCTGACAAATAGGGGGTGTCATATGGGGTAGGATCGTTGATATTGCACGGCGTTGCCAAGGATCGCTTCTGAATGCTAACAATCTGCTCTTGTATGGAGCCATTTCTAGACCTGACTGATCTCGGAGTGGTAGACTGCCCTTGCATGGAAGCAGGTTTGAACCTCGTCGATGTCGGAGTAGTCGACTGCTCTTGTGCAAGTCTACAAGAAATACCGCCGGATAGTCCAGATGCAGAGGAATCGCAACCGAGCATCTTTCTATTGACGGAAATTGGCATGATGTCTAGCTCACCCAAAGCGTCCTCTTGGGGGCTGCTTTTAGATTGCCTTGAAACTGAGTGCTCCTTCATTACAAGAGAGGAGCTGACGCTGTGGCCAACGTTGTCGTTTTTCAACAATAATAAACTTGACTTGAGCCTGTGTCGAAGGTTGTCTCTCTCGACAGCCATCTCGTTGTTGTAGCTCACCTCATCATCTAGCATAACCCTTGGGGTCGACCACTGAGTCTTCAAATCACAAAGTCTTCGCAGAATCGTACCCCTACCTGGTGGGTTTGGCACGCTCACAGCCATACGCAGGCTGTTAGGAGCCTTGACATGCGATTCGTTTGAACAATCTTCTCCGCCCTCGCAAGACGCATCGGCTGTAGCACATGGAGAAGATCTGAAGGAACCATGACTTTTCTCCAACTGCCGCGGAGGCTTCAGATGTCCATATTCTTTTTCGCTCACCTCCTCAAAATCACTCTTTAACTGGAAACTCCCACTTCGGTTGTCAGTCAAATGCTGATCGACGGAATTCCTTCTGGACTTGTGTACATCTCCGCCCAATATTGCCTGCATCTTGTGGACATCTTGTCTGTCGAGCTCAAAACGAAAGCTATTTGCCCAGTTTGCAGTTTCAATGCTATCCTGAGGCCATCTAGAATCTACTTCCTCGAGCTTGACGTCCACACCAACATCGCTCCTTCCATGTCGGCCTCTGCTATTGAGGTGTGAATCATTCTCTAACAGGGTGGGAAAGTCGAGCAGTGAAAACTTCTTGCTGGTGGCATTCAAGCGACCAGCGTCTGCATCGCTCCAAACATGCCCCTCGTTCTTACGAACAGCCTCCTTCCGCACAAACACAATTTTTCGTTGATTACTGCTGGAACTGCTCTTATCTTTTTCTCTTCGCGTCCCCATCGCTTCACATGGGATGTTTCACACGCTAAAATATAAGCGACCAGGTGGTGCAGCAGATAGGAGGGGTTTGCAATACACGCTAATTGGACCCTGGAGATGAATTCTCAGATCCCTCTGTTCTCGAAGCTGCGCTTACGCATTCTGACGAAAAGCAACGGTCACTTCTACATGAAGGCTGCAGTGCATCTGCTCAACCCAAGTGCACCTCACTGATTAGCACTGCTGAACTTTGACATCTGACAAATACAGACAATTGCATTCATAGACAAGAAAAAGCCGCTTCGCTTCACCCACGCGTCATAAAACTGGGCACACGATGCTAGTGGGAGAGGGGAAGGGAGCAGGCTGTTGCACTGGTCGACGTCTGTCTGACTGCTTGGAACAGCAGAGCAATAAAAACTGCAATGAAAACTGTAATGAAAGCGGTGATCGCATTCTTGATTCGCAGAGTCGACAGCACTCGATGGTTCCTCTGCCACTACTGACATAGGCTAATCAACTAGAAAGAGTCACTGACGCGCACAGAGCCTGGAGACAACTTATCCACCGGATTGTAAACCAAACATCTCTATCGATCCTATTCCGACACTAGTGATTAGACAACTTCATGGTTATCTAATTGCCCCTCAAATAATTCGGTATACAAGAGATTCTTTATAGCAACCTTCAGCTTACTGTTTTATTACCCCTCGCTTGTAAAGTAAGTCCTAGATGACGCCCGAAATCCCGCCGTGAAGCCTCTGATTCCCATTCGTCTGAGGAGTTTCAGTTGACTCTAGAGTAATTCAAGCACCTTTGACAATAGAATTGTGTGGACATCGAAGGAAGACCAGAACGAGTGCTTGCGAGCTATATATAGCCGCAAAAAACCTGCTAATTACTTCAGTGAACTGTGCTGCGAACGAAAGATTAGATGTACATATTGAAGGTTGAAAAGTGGAGCAGCTCACTGAGACGACTGATTGCAACGCCAACTGCACTGGCTTCAATTCATTCACTTCAGGCTTAGATGTCCAAGAGATCAAATGGTCGAAAATAGAAACCTCCTCCGTCAAAATTCTTCTCTTACCAGTACCCACTCGAACGCGCCTGCTGCCGTAAACTAGAACGGCACATATAGTGAAGTCACCTGTATGTCGAAATGTATTGCTTCCAGACACGTCGACACAGCCGGAGAGATGAGCACGTATACACCCCTCTCGACATGTTCACAAGTTAACAATCCCGACCTCGAACCCGCTAAACCAAACTAAGGGGTTGTCTACCAGGCTTGCCATTTGTGCTACGTGATGAATATTCTAAAATTCCATGCCGCAACCATACATAACTCCGTTCGCCTAACCCAACTGCATACAACGCTTCAATTTCATCCACAGCAGGTGGCGATTGAAGCATTACCTTCTGTCGTGAGAAGATAATTCTGCCAACTAGTTTAAGAGACAGAATTCACTGAAGAAAGACCCCGCTAGATACAAGCACACATGCTGCCAGCACCGACTGACACTTGAATACCACGGCCTTCTCCTTGCTGCGATGATGGAGGGGTGATTGCTGCAGGAGCTGGCGGCGTGGGGGTTGTTCATCTTATGCTGCTCAGCAAACGATAGAAAGCGAGGGGCCTATTTATAAAGCGATCAGCCGGTCATCCTGCGGTCATCTTCTCCGGTGGGCACTGCTCTTGGGGTCCCAGTAAAAAACGCCGAAAACAACAATTGAGTAGTAAATTCCCAACTTGCAATTATATAATAACAGTTTCCAACAGCATTGAAACTGATAAACTTGTATTGTTTTTGAGAGCCCAATAAAGTAAAAACTGTAAAAATACTCTAAATAACAGTTGCAATTCTAACCCTTTCAAGGATAACAAAAGACATTTTTTGACCTATATGTGTTTTGGTAGAGGTGAAGTTACAAACGCCTTTTGAGGATGTAGATGTATTTCTATGATAAATAAATATAAAATTCTATGAGTTGTTTCTATGTTTTCTTTTTTTGGAATATACAAATATACAATCAAGGAAAACTTCGAATACAATGAGAAGAAAAAAAAAAAAAAAAAAAAAAAAACTTTCTAATTTATTTGTTATTCTTTTTTGAAATTTAGTTATGCAAGTGGCCATAATATCAAGGAGTTCGAAAGAGTAATAACCAAATAATTAGAAAGTATTTAAGCATTTCGAATTCTCGGTTTTGAAGGATAAGATTCACATTCATTGTGTCTACATTGAAGGCTAAAGCTACAATCCAGGTTTCAATTGAATCTAGTCTAAATTCTTTCGAATAAAGTAAGTCGTGAAAATTAAATATAACACTGTAACAGTTGAAGTCCCCCTTGGATCACACCAAATAGTCTTGAATTGACAAAAGGCCCCAAGAGGAGCTAAGACTTTAGACTGGTAAATACGGTGACTTTCATTTTGCTTTAGGCCAAGTCTGTCAATGGAGACTTCATGGGGTCAATGCCCAAGACGTAAGACCCAAGTCCTCTAGACTTCAAGGCTTTCCACTCAAGCTCATCCTGAAAACAATTCTTTTATACATGTGGGTTTTGTCTTTTTACAACATAATATATATTATTTATATTCAAAGACATAAATTAATTTTAAAGGTGATAGATGCAGCTTCCTCTTCTGGAAGTCAAATACTCAGAAAAAGCAAATATCTGTGGGTTGCTGTAGATGGCCCTTTTTATGCTTTCTACTAATGCTTTGTACATTTGACTCCAACTTTGGATAGCAAAATGGGATTTCTCATTCAGTTGAGATTGGACTGACCTGCTCTCAAAAAAGAATAAAGAATAAAGCAAAGCGAGGAGAAAACAAAACCAAGCTTACACATTGTATGAAAAATCACCACATTAGCAACCAAATTTAAAGTTGATGTTTTCATTGATGAAAGAGGCCAAAAACAATGATGTTTTCTTCCTTCTTCAAAGTTTTTTTAAGGTGTGATAAACCCAATTTTCATATATCATTTCATTTGCAAATTTTTCATCTATTGGATGAAGATGTGGCTTGATTAGCTAATTTTGGGAGTGGAAGTTTCTAGGTCTATTTTCACTTTGGAAAAGTTTCAAGTTCCTTTTCATACCAAGGTTGGACGATTTGGATGAGTACGTTCATTCATCCATATTCCACCACATCCATGGATATGTTGGCTTTCATTCGCTACATTGATGGATAAATTGACTAATGTAATCAATTTATTTTTAAAAAATAAATAATATTATATAAAATACTAAAAATAAATATAAAATCTAAATTAATATAAATGCATGTGATGATTATTGATCTAAAAGTAAAAGGTATATTTTTATTTTATTTTATTTATTTTTAACATATGAAAAAAAATTAAAAATAAAAAATTCTTGTTTTTAGAAAATAATTCTTTTGATTTAATGTTTTTATTGTTTCAAGGTTTATCAATTCAATAGTAAATAAAATAGAAGTTTGAAGTATACAAACATAATTAATTTTTATATCTATATGTTAAGTAAGTAAATAAAAGTGAAAGTAGAATAAATTATCTTATAAAAGATATTATTTTAAATAAGTTGCTAATAGTCAAAGGATTGACTTTTGGTAGTTAAAAAGGGCATTCTATGGATATAAGACAAAGTCAAGGACCAAGAATCAAAGTCAAGAAGATAAAGTATAAACTAAAGAATATCTAAAGACTAGTTAAGAGTAATTAATGTTTGGCATAAGATATCCTCTTGGTTATTAAGGTGCCAAAGGATCCTAAGATCATGTGTGTAAAATTCAAAGAGTAGAAGTTGTCTTCTAAGACAACAACCACCACCTATAAGTATTAAATGTTGGAAATGAGAGATATCTTACTCCATATTTTCTTTGTATGCAACCTTATTGATGCTAAGTGTTGTGACTTCACAATGCTTGTTCTTCAATAGGTTATGAATCCACTCACTTTTAGTTATGAATTTTGAAGTTCTTTAAAGTCTTATTTATTGTAAAGAGTAGATCTTTTGGTTGTTTTTGATGTTAGAATTTGATATCATCTAATTCTATTGTTGCATCTAATTGTTTATGTCGTTTGCTCTTACTTGTTGTTAAGAGCATTGTTAATCTTTGAGATTGTTAGATACCTTAGAATGATGTTTTAAAACACTAATATTATATTTTTTTTTATTGAATTACATCATTTGTGATCTAATATTGTGGTTTTATGAGATAAACTTCTCTTGAGATCCTCTTATAGTCATAAGAAGTGTTTTGTGAGGTTAGAAGTATGTTATGAAAGAAGAGAGGTGATTGAAGAGTGGCAAAGCTTATATAAGAGGTTTAGATAGAATATAAGACTTCTAAGAAGTCCTATAAGTGAAGTTGAAAGTGATTAAAGAGTGATATTACTAGTTCACTCATAAAAAGGCATTTTAGGTTTCTAAGGCAACAACACCTTCTTATTGATTTTGAAAGTTTTTTTTTTTTTTTTTTTTTTGATTTTTTTTTATATACCTCTTCATTAGACATAGCTTCAAGTGAAGATGAGGTTTTGGAAATGATTGAGAAGTTTAGCGATGATAACTTCTATCATTAGAGGAAAAAAATAAAACTTTTGTTGGTTTCATTAGATCTTTGGGATATTGCGGATGAAAGTGAAGAGTCTCTAAGTGACAATGCTAATGTCAAAGTGAAGAAAGAATATAAATATTGTGAAAAGAAGGCTTTTGGCATGATTGCATCAAATTTGGATGATGCCAATTTTTTACATATAATTGCTTGCAATGGACTAGTGAAAGCATCTAAGATACTTTATAACATCTATAAGATTAAAAACCTTACCAACATTCTATAGACAAAAAAGAAGTTCTTAATAGTAAAGATAGAAAAAAGAGATGACCTCATGGCTCATATCAACAAGATAAAATACTTGTAAATCAATTAGCAGTTATTGACAAGCTAGTTGATAATAAGGATATTGTGTTGACATTGGTCATGAGCCTCTTAGAGTCCTACAACTACTTCATTGTGGCATCGAAATCTATCAACATGAAATAGCTTACCATGAATTATGTCACATCGAAGCTTGTCCATAAAGTGACCAAGAAAAAAGAAAATGAGCTTCAAAGTAATGATTCAGCTCTATTTTCAAGACAAAGCAAAGGTAGCTATTTTCATCAATGTGATAATTCAAAAAGAAATATGAAAAATTACTATATTTATGAAAAACCAAATCACTTTGCTAGAAATTACTACAAAACTAAGAAAGGAGATAGAAAGAATGAAAACAATGCTCATAATACCTTGATAGAGATGACTATACTTTCATGACAAATAAAAGAGTTTCCATGGCTACTATGTCCAAGTAGATTATAGATTTGGGTGTTACTAAGCACATGATACCATACAAGTATTTATTTGACACTTATGAAGAAATTCTAGCAATCAAAGTTTGTTTGAGAGACAATGGCATGATATAAGCCATTGGAATTAGATCCATTATTGTGAAAATTATTATGAAGGACCAAATCAAGAGAATCAGATTGAAGGAAGTCTACCATGTGCTAAAGATAAAGAAGAACCTCTTTTTGGTGAGAAAACTTATATCATATGGTTGTAAGGTTCAATTTGATAAGAATAGATGTTTTGTGAAGATATTATATAGACAACATATTTCCAAAGGCCTTAGAAATGGCAACCTCTACTTCATTAATTGTAAGAAGGTGAATAGAATAGAAGTGACAATATTTGTTGATTTTCCATAAGATCAAGACAAGTTTGGAATTTGGCATCAACAACTTCGTCATTTGAATGCCAAAAGCATGAAGGAGCTCTAATCCTTTATTAAGTAGCTTGGATCTTGGTCAATTCAGCTACAATGCCTTAATACTTGCTTGTAAAGATTGTATACATGGCAAATAACAAAGGATTTTATTTCCAATAAAAGTTGCAACATGTTCAAGAATTTTTTTGGAGATTATGCATTCTAATGTTTGTGGACCAATGAAGACACCATCAATTAGAGGAATAAGATACTTTATTATATTTATTGATGATTTTTTAAGAAAAGTATGGATTTACATCATTAAAGCTAAGAATGAATATTTTTCAAGATTTAAAGAGTTTAAGGCTCTTGTAAAAAAATATTGTGAGTGCAAGCTCAAAGTGTTGTGCATGGATAATGGAGGTGAGTACATATCAAAATATTTTGATGAATTCTTGAAGATTCAAAGTATTACAAGATAATCTTCTATTCTCTATACTCTACAACAAAATAGAATTGTTGAATGAGCAAATTGCACCATTATAGAGATGATAAGGAGTATGCTTCATGTATAAAACCTTGTGTTTTATGCATGAGGATTTTTAAATGCATTACCTATGTAAAGATACCAAATTGTATGAAGTCCAAACTTGATGTAAAAGATACAAAATATGTATTTGTTGGATATTATAAAGGTACTAAAGCATATAAGCTAATGTGTTTGGAAACCAAGAAGATCATCAAGAATCGTGATATAGAATTTTTGAAGCATAAAAGTGCTTATGAACACTTAGAAATATATCCAAGTGAGAGTAATGGTATATTTCTAGATACATCTTCAAATTTAGCATAAGAAGAAGAAGAAGATGATGACATTGATGATGGTAGAAATTCAAATTAAAATAAAGAACTAAAGAAGGTAGACCATTGTGTACATACAATTACTAGAATCAGCAATGAAGACAATGAGGATGTTAAAGATGATGATGATGAGGACAAATAACAATGTTTAAATATGAAGAAACAAGTTTTAAGAGAGATGAAACTTACAAGAAACCTTGGAGTGAAAGAAGGTGAAGTTTCATCAAGTGAAAGGAAATATCATTTGAAACATAGAAAATAACTTGGTGTATGGTGGAAGAATCACATCTTTCTTTAAATAAATAAAGAACATGACAATGTTGTACTCCTTATTGATCGATTAGATTTATGTGATGCAATAAAGTCCATGGATGCTATAAAGTGAGAGAATACCATAGAAAAAGAATATAAATCACTCATGGACAATGAAACATGGAAATTGACTCAACTTCTACTAAATTGATCTTCAATTGATTGTAAGTGGGTGTTTAAAATCAAAAAAGATGCAATAAATAATGTTATAAGATACAAGTCTAGATTAGTTGCCAAAGGTTACTCACAAGTTGTTGGTATTGATTTCAATGAGACATTTGCTCTCATGGCCAAATTCACCACTATTAAAATTATTGTAGCAATTGGAGCACCAATGGACTTAGAGATGCATCAAATCGATGTGAAGACGGCTTTTTTGAATAGAAATCTAAAAGAAAATATCTACATAGATAGACTTCAAGGATTTGTAAAAGAAGACAATCAACATCTTGTTTGTAAGTTGAAGAAAGCATTATATGGGCTCAAGCAATCATCAAAGACATGGTACCAATGCATTGATACATTCTTTGTGAATGAAAGATTTAGAAGGAGTGAATTTGATCATTCTTTGTATGTGATGCAATTAAGTGTGTTCATATTAATTGTCATTCTTTATATTAATAATTTGATCATCCTAACCAATACTATGAAGTTAATAAATTAATTGAAGATAAAATTAGAAAAAAAATATGAGATGAATGATTTGGAAGAGCTTCACTGTTATTTATGAATGGAGTTTGTGAGAGATTGTGCTAAAAAAAACCATTATAATGAGCTAAAGCAAGTACATTGAAGAAGTATTGAAACAATTCAACATGGACGAATATAAGCCTATTGGAATACCTTTGGAGGCCAATTTGAAGTTAATGAAGCTCACAGATGAAGAATTTAGTGAAGTTGAAGGTCAAATACAAGATGTTTCATATAAAACAATAGTAGGTTCACTTATGTATACAATGGTTGGCACAAGGGTGGAACTTGTATATGCGATGAGTGTGGTAAGCCAATACATATAAAAAGTTGGACCAATCTATTGGAAAACCATCAAAATGATCATGAGGTATTTAAAAGGCACTTTGCATTTCAAATTGTGACTTGGACATAATAACATTAGTTTGTATAGTTATTGTAATGTGGATTGGGCTAGAAATGCAAATGATAGAAGATCAACAACAAAATATGTATTTTTTGTTGGAGTGGGAGCTATTTCGTGGAATTGTAAGAGACAACCAACAATTACAAAATCAACAATAGAGATAGAGTACATAGTAGTAAGCCATGTTGTAATAGAAGCAATATGGCTAAAACAACTTTTGGAAGATATTAGAGTATTACAAATGAAAGCAACTCCAATAGAATGTGACAATCAAAGATGTCTTGCATTTGCAAAGAATAATAACTTATATAAGAATAATAACTTACATAAATCAAAGGATTGACTCTTAGTATTTAAAAAAGACATTCTATGGATATAGGATGAAATTAAGGACCAAAAGTCAAAATCAAGAGAATAAAGTATGAATTAAAGAATATCTAAAGATTAAGTAAGAATAATTAGTGTTTGTCATAGGATATCCTTTTAGTTAATAAAGTGCCAGAGGATCTGAGCACCATATGTGTAGAAGTTAAAGAGTAGAAGTTGTCTTCTATGGCACCAACCACTACCTATAAGTATTGCGTATTGAAAATGAAAGATATCTTATTCCATACTTTCTTTATGTGCAATCTTGTTGATGCTAAGTGTTGTGACTTCATAGTGCTTGTTCTTCAATATTGTATACATATTTAAAGTTTATTTTTTATTTTTTATAGTATTTGTAAATAAATATTTAATAATTAACTACTTGATATTTTTGACACCAAAACAACTATAAATTGGAATTATTACAAAAATTATATTAATCACATATTAAAAATAAACAAAAAAAAATAACAATAATAACAAAAAAAAAAAAAAAAAAAAAAAAAACCTTTTATTTTTTTTAAAATAACAACAATTACATGAGACTCTATGAACAACTTATAAAAGAATTTTGGATATATATTGTAATTTCATGAAATGTGCATTTAGAAAAATAATTACCAAAGTCGTAAAAAATTATTAATTTTAGAAAATAACAAAATTTTATCAATTATTTTTTAACAAGAAATAATGTACCTGTAATACTTATGGGTAAAAAACCAAATTGATAGGGATGAATAAGTAACAAAATAGTATTGTATTCTTCTTAAATTAAAAAAATAATTTTAATTTGAATAATAAAACAAGTTTCTTTAAGATTAAAGTTGCATAAATTTAAATACTTTGTAACTTTTACACTATACTTTTTAGTTACAATTACATTCACACATCATTAATTCAAAAAGAATATTCTAATAATTTGTAGGTACTGAAAAAAAGAAAAAAGAAAAAACTTAAAGATCAGAACAATTAGTTTCTTTTTTGCAATAATTGACAATTATAATGGCAATGAAATGATGATTAAGCAAAACTTGTATAAAAAGAGGTGTGTCAGCTCTATGCAGTTTTGGAATGACAGAACATTTAATGACTCATTCCTTTCTTAAACCTCCCTGATTTTAACTGACACGGCTTGTGAGCCACACAGCTCATGCTTCTAGGTAAGCTTCTAACACAGCAACCTACATTGATCTGATTCTTAGAAGAATGATCCATCATGTTCCTGATGAGTCCTTGAAAGTTGAGCACCTTGCGCTTTGTAATGATAAGAGGAATGGATCATACAATTGAATGAGCAATCTGAGACCTTGGTAGCTGCTTACGTAAGATGAGGGTGGGAGGAGAAATTGGACGCAATTCGGCTCTTCGGCGCCGCTTCGTCAATCAACAGCTTTTGTGAATTTTTCAGTAGGCAATGCAATTGTGACTGAATAAAACGAAAATGCTGCTTGCTGCTATGGTTACTGTAGTTGTGTCATGCTTGCATGCGACTATTTCTCCTGTGCACTGAGAAGCGAAGGTCGCCATTGAACAGGGTCAACTACAGTGTGCTTAAGCTCGAAGCAATCAGGAGGGAATTGAGTTCACAAGAGAAAACTGCTGAAACGTATCCTGTACATTAAAATGTGGAGCTTTTGACATGAGAAATGCACTTGCTAACTACAGAGGACCAATGCATGTGTTTGCTGCACTTACAAGCATATACATGTGACCCAATGCGGGCATGGTTACTTGTACCCCACTCTGAATCCTGAATCCTGAATCCATTCTGACTGAATTGATTTTGATTGGAAAGAATCAACACTTGGTAGTACAGCCAGCAAGGAACCGACGGGCTTTCAAACCTGTTCAGCCCACAAATGCAGGACTGTAGCAATGGAGAGCTGTTACTGCAAGCGTCTTTAAGAATTCATTGGTTCCTACTTTCTTGAGTCTATTGGGGCTAAAAAGCTGGTTCCAAGGGCAGCAACCAAGAGATTCCAAAACTTGCAACGGGGAAGCACGCGTTACCTTGCTAATATTCGATCGAAAAATGCCGGCATGTTTAGACTCCAAATAAGGGGAGTCCTACTTTTACGAAGGAGTGTACAAGTGCTCCTGTAAATATATAACTGTCCACTCGATCCAATATGCCCCCTGCCACAAGAACATCTCCTAGTATGTGACAACCAGCAAATGTAAATCATTTGTGACAGGTAGCAACTGAATCTCGAAAACTAAGAAGTACAAAATACTGCAGCTAAATAAGATTTGACACGGTTACAATCTAACATCTATGATGAAGGTGGATTATGGAGAGATACCATGGCCAGGGATGAGTTTCCCCGAGTCCTTAACGCCAGCATCTCGCTTTATCATAGACTCAGTCAGGTCACCAAAGAGCGACCCCAGAAAAACAAGTAGTGCCAATACCATCGCACTGCATGAATGTCAGTCACTTAAACGTTCATAATTGTGCCTAATTACATTGGTCGTCAAAGCATTTCTAGAGACTGTATCTGTCGGATGTTGTAAATTTAGGACACACACAAATTCTCGATCGATAAAAAAAGACCATCCGCCAAAACATCTAAACCCAGGTTTCGAAAGCATTTTTACACATCCAAAATGACCTCTGGTCTTCAGCCATGGTCACGAAACTGCACCAAGATTGTTGGATCAACATGGACAGAAAACTACGATTTTCAAACTGTTGACAACGCATTTTGACTATTACTGAGAATATATAATTCTAGAAAATAACTTGGGAACATACTCATACCTGGAAGAGGACATGGGCCATTGAAAGAGAAGTCCAAGCACCACTGACACAGCAACTGATGCACTTAATCCACAAGCTGCACCTTCTAAAGTTTTCTTTGGGCTAACTTCAGAGAGAGGAGTTCTACCCAACGCCTGATACAAGAGCACGGAAAAAGTTATGAGGACCGCGAGGCGTGTAAAACACAGGAATCGAGGCAAACAGCACTGTACATCTTCTGACCATATTTGTTGTGCCACGACATTCATCATGAATGCGAAAACCAAACAATCTTCTTTCATGAAGGAAACGCGGAAAACACATAGTATGACACCATCCAGCTTTAGGACTCTCAATACCGTTGTCGAGCATGAATTCGTATGGAACATGAAGAATAAGACGAATCAGCAAACGACGCAACAATTTCCAACACTTGTGTTTGTATGCTAAAGAAAGAGCCCAGTATAAATGAATCAACTAAAGAATAAAAACATACCCTTCCCCCGAGAAAAGCGCCTGTGTCCGCAGCAATTATAGTGCTTATAGCAATGATGGTGGCTATGAGGCCCACTGTCCAGTGAGCTTGTCCACCGAGCAGTGCAGGCCATGCCGAAACAAGTTCTAACCAGACCAATCCAACATTACGGTTAAGTATGTAAATCCTATGTAGATGTTCACTGAAGATGATTTTCTTAAAAACAATAGGTGCGAGTCAAGAATGGCGACTATCGAGACCTTTGAGAGACCTCGACACAACGTAAACTAATAAATGAGCGAATACAAAAGCCAACGAATGATTCACAGACTTAAGAGGAAAGAAAGAATCAATTGCGTTGACAAATTAGAGTTCTGTAAATACACTCACTGGTATTGATAGCAGGAACTGCAAGACCACAACGCAACTTTACCCAGAAGCAAGGGAGGTAGCCACAGTAGAATAATCCGAATATGGCACTAGAGAGGTGCGAGAAACGGGGGCCACGCTGAAGCAGAAGCACTGTGGCCAAAAAAAATGACGCTGTTGTTACCGCCACCCCAACACGTCCCCCAAAGTACCTGCACAGTCATTTACCCAAGGATGAGCCACTTTGATGCGAAAAAAAAAACATTCTAGATACGAAACAAAAGGAGATTCCAAAGTCAAAGAAGAAGCACTTTTGTGGAGACAATTTAGTAAGCTACACTCGGACTTACATGGTCATTAAAGGCATGGCTGCACAGATCGCCGAACAAATTCTGGTGGCGATAAGTGGAGGAGCTTCCATACCACGAGTCATAGCTTTGCTTTGCACAAGACCGAAGTATTCACCTGTGGCTACCCAGATGGTAGCGGCAAGAGCTATCGCGAAAACCCAACCACCTGCCAAAACTACGCCTAGAACGCCAAAACCTATGATGAATCCAAAGAGTACCCTGTTTTTAAGCTGCCTCTTCTTATCCTGTGGTGCTGAGAGTGTTACAGATTTATCCGATGAAGAGATGTTGACATTATCTCCGACCTTATCCAGCTGTGGCTGCAAAAAATTAAAAATGTGGCATAAATATCACACGCAGGGACTGATGAAACACTATCAAACCCTGCCCCATGAAACCTGAAAATAGCAATTAACTGCCATGTGACGATAAATCATGGGCTCGCCTTTGATTAACAAAGAGCCAAGGCTTAGAATACGAAGCTTTAACCTCAACCTGATTATCTTCTCCATCCGCAGGAGAAGCATCAGCAGCTATGGCCTTTCCTGTGATGTTTGGTCGATTTTCACTTGTCTCGTCGCTGGCAATCTCTGTCAACGAGGACTCCTGTATTGACCCTACCTTCCAATACGAGGTTTTCCTTTGGAGGGAAGCTGATAACATCGAAGGAAGACTTGAATGTTTTCTTAAGGTAGAGTACCACAAGGCACTTGATTGAGTACCAGATAGAAATCCACACGAAGCTGATAGTTTTGGACGTCGGCATGACACGCAATCTCTTGTAGATTTCAGTTGAGATCTACTTCCACAATTCTCGGTGCAGTTTGTGGAAGTGGAGTGACAAGTAACAGCTTCAGATGAGGCTCTCGAAAGGAAATACGATCGAGACTTCGAAAGAGTTGGTAATGACAATATCGATTGAAGGGCTGGCGTTTGGAGCCCATTGGTGGGACCTATGTAACAGGCAACACCTGGGGCTCCAAACATGGCAGCAGCCAGTTATTGCCTCGCCTTTGATCTTGGAGGGACCGCTTAAGAGTCGAATTGATATGCTCTGGAATTCACCCTACCCCTGCATTCCTTCAACCCTAGATTATCTTTTTTCATCACTGTCCGAGAGACTGCTGCAAGAGCTGCCGAAAAATTCTCTAATTCAATCAATTCTGGCAGCGATCACCTCGAGAATATAGAAAGATTAATACGCCTCCAGCAACCGCTTGATATCGCAATCTCAGCTGCTGCAAGATCTTAAGAAACAGAAGACACATTTTCAGGCGCAGAATTCGTAATCAAAACAGCTGATCAGTAAAGAATATCATTCAGGGATCTGATGCAGCAACAGCCACCACAACGACTTCGAGTACCACAGATAGTGGGTCGATGCAACACCAAAGTTGCCGATTTATGAAAATACCAGCCACATTCTTGTTTAGAATGAAACCAACCAACGCCAAGGATGGTTAGAGGGTGCAAATTTGAGTGCGAGGTTCTTAAAAACAATGTGGCAAATGACTTGGCTGTAGCTTGATCTAGCAGAAAATAGTCGTACTGTTATCTTGAATCTGCCGATCAATTAATAAGAAGCTCATCTCAATGGAGCGAAGGAACACATAACAAGATCCCAACGCCCACTGAAAAATCAAACTCCAGCACAATGCTACTTCATGCAAGATTTTTGGCCTACCACAAAAAACTCTAACATTTTCCCAAACACCGCAACACAAAACACCCTTACAAATCAACCCACTGCAAACTCGTGCGCACGAGCCCACCTCGTCCTTTCAAACCCTTTCCACGCCGCCCGCAGAAGCATAATCACTTTACTCCAAAAACATGATAGACAAGATATCTGTCCAAAAAAAAGAGAAAAAACCCAAATTGCTGACCAAAACAACTAACCCAGCACGAAATCCTGGCAATTCGAGTCCCGCGACGCGAAACGATCACAAGCAGCCTCCTGGCGTGGAGCGCGAGAAGTCACCAGCTCAGGACCACTCAACCGAATGAAGAATCTGAAGCTGAAGGAGAGGAAGACAACAACGACCATGACAAACGAGAAGATTCTAATGCACAAAGTGAATCTGGCGCTCCATGTGGGTCAGCAGCTTATCCACAGCCCTAGTCTTCCGATCCCTCCTACTCCACCACCACCACCACCTCCTCCTCCTACGCCTACTCCACTATGACGTCTCACTTGACGGCAGCCTTGAGGCATTGGCCCTGGTCCTGGTGTGTGCATCCCAGTGTGAAGGGGGGAGGGGATCTCTTTTGTCCCCATATCTGCTTTCCAGTATGTAGTCCATGAATCCTGCTCAAGCAAGCCATGGATCTCCCTTTGCTTTGCTTGCTTCCTGGCTCGCTTGCTTGCTGCGACGGAGCAAACGAGGGGCGGCGACTGATTCCACGTCCCCACCCTTGCCCTAATTTGCACATTTGCACATTTGCCTTGCATTTTGCTTCTGGGCTGTTGTGCTTTCAGGCGTTCTTGCAGGCGTTCCTTTTAATAGCTATTGTAAATCTTTCCTTTTTTGAATTATACTTCACTTTAATTTTATCTTCCTATTTTTATTTATGCATGTATTAATTGTTGTTCAACAATTATATGTAGATTTTGACAAATGGATATGTTTGAATAAAATATTTTTAATATGTATCTAATATTTTTCTTTGAAATTTAATATATTTAGAAAGGTTATCAAATTTATGTTTTATTTTTATAATTTACTTACATCAAATAAATACAAAGGATTTTTTTATTTTATTTATTCCTATTAATGTAAAATAATTCCTTAATATAAGTTTAGTAAGTATTATATGTTTATTAAAATTACATAAAAAATAATATACTATTTTTAATTTTTATGTAAAACTCGTGTAAATTTATAATATATTTATTACATATCTATTTTATATTTATTTTATGTAAAATTTAATTATTACTAATTTATTGTAAGAATATTGTATTTTTTTTTAGATAAAAGAAGTTATTTTTTAAAATAATTAATAAAAGTTTTTGTTTATTTAGTTTTTCTATAAAATTTTATATTGATATTTATGAAACCAAAATATATTACATTTTTATTAAACTCAAATATTACAAAAATATTTTTTAAATCTATAGTAATAGGAAATTATATGAATTATATACAAATAAACTAATATATTATAATTAATCATTGTTTGAATTCTATTTTAGTTTAAATAATAAAATTATATTAAACCTTAGTTGAACATTTGTGGGATAAGATTCTCTATTAAATTCTCTCCAAAGGATTGTTTAGTTAGATTTTCTTTGTTATTTATTCAAATTATCAAATTATCTAATTATCTATTGACATTGATATGGTTTTGTCGAAAGTAAATAAATTCTAACTATCTAGTTATACTTCATATTCTTTTATTGTAATAATATGTTTATCAACAAAACATGTATATAATCTTAGAAATAGATAATCTTAATTTATATTTTATTATATACATTATCTAAATATTTAATTAAAGTATTATCATAGGTAATATGTAAATTCATAATGTAAAAAATGTTGCAATGTGAATTTCTTATTAAACATAAGACACATTCAATAAACACATATTAATCCCTAAACAAAAGTGTCTATGTTTTTACACAATGTTAATATAATAAAAACCACTATTATAACAACATTTTGTGAGTACACTCAATTCTATTTCAAAAATACAATTACTTTTGAAAGTTGTATGTGTAAATCACAAATTATACATAAAAATATTAAATTAAATAACAATAAAAACATGATGTGCAAACTTTGAATTGAAGTAGTAAACAATTTCTATCCATAGCCTATTCTAACGTTTTTCTTTTTATATTTAGGTCGCTATGTTGTACATAGCCTTGAAGCAAGATTTGACTGCTTCCTTGTTCTAAATCGTGCTTCAACTCCATCAACTTCAACAGTAAACCTCTTGACCTCTTGGACCCAATCACTGCAATTGATGGAATGGGAATAGTATCAAGGATAGAGGAAGGTGAAGATGATCATGAAAGTTAAGAGTTGAAAACCTTCTTCAAATATTAACGGTGCACGAGAAATTTTCTAATAAACCAGAGTTCATCTATCTTGTGAAAATAGTGCGCAGGATGTGCTGCTGCCTTAAAAGATACACAAGAAGCCCCGCTAATACGCAATGTGCAAGATTCATCACTCACAGGACATAAGCGACGATGCAAAGATGTCATAGATCTGAAAGAGACAGCCTAATGTCTAAAAACGCCTCTTTTGAGTTCCAAAGATCAATTACTTCTTTCAACTCCAGACAGAGTATCAAAGTAGAGATTACAGTCATTGTAGTTGCAGAGATGAAAGGAAACCCACAATATCCTTCAACCAAAATGAAGAGAGGGAAAAGAAAAAAAGAAAAGAAAAATAAGAAAAGCCTCATTTCATGTGCTCTTCCAATACGATATAGTGTCCTCCTCTACCTATATACAACAAAGGCCTTGTCAGGTTTTGATGGTCACGATTATCATCTGGTACAAGTGTGGCACACCCAACGCTGAGCAACGAATCATACCAACTATTGAAAGTGAGGAGATGCCTGAACAGGATACGTGTCTCCACCTTTATTATCACCTTCAGACTACCAGTGTGCTCGTTCTCCCGAGATCAGAGCTCTGCATTACTTATCTAGTACAGAATTCAAGTCTGCAAGACCCTGACGTAAAAGCCCACGTTAGATCAAACAATCCAGCTTTCCACATATGTGTCTAACATACACGAGTAATACAAATTCTATGGTTACGCAAGAGATGATTGCAAACCACTTAGTTTGATATTTTCTCCCATTAACATCTATGGATACACAAGTATGTTTACTAATATTGCACAATGGTGCAGAAAAAAAACAGCAGCAGCTCTAGATTCGCTTCATTCATGCTATAAGTACATAAAATGTCCTGTGAATTTAAACAGAAAATAGTTTCTCCACACAGGAAGTGGCAGACGTTGTCTTCGATTATGTTGAACAGATTGAAATTGGCAGGTGAGTGACAAAATCGGCTGCACAGCACTACTTCAGATTTTACTCCACACTACAGAACGTGTGACAATGTGAACATACGCTCAGCACTTTTACCAGGAGGAATGAAGGTAGGAAAGTAGACACTCACGCATACTGTTAGAATGCCTACGATGAACTAACAAGAATTATCCGAAAAGGCTTGCCGGCGTCGACCGCAGCTTCGCCTGTTCATCGACGGCGTCGAATGCTGGGTGGTTAAGGACTTCTTCTAACAACCGCGTCCCCCTCAATGCATTCGTCAGAGGTAAGTGGCCTTCAGGGGTTGGGTCCGCAACATCCCACATAAACTCCAGAGGGAACTTCTTGTAAGTATCTTGGTATTCATCCAAAGGTCGAGTCCATCCCACCTTGTTGAAGAAAGCATTCCATGTCTTTCCGGAGTTATTCCATATCTTCTTCTGTACGCTGTACCCAAATTTTCCATTGCTATATTGCTTCCATAAACTATCTACCTTCGTTAGGTCAGAGACAGAGATAAACTTGACCTCAGAAAAATAGACCCATTTTCTCTTCACTGCCTCCTCACCAGCCAATACGCACAGCAATCTCCGAGTTTCGGCGTCGGCTGCCTCCCACTCCCCGGCTGCAAGCTTATCTCTTAAGAGCTCCAATGAAGCTCCTGAGTCCGTCACGAGGTCTATGGTGGTGGCTACCTCCTTCAACCAAGCAATCCACAAATTCGACTTAATCCCAGACCTTGTCGCAGTAACACCACATGATAAATTCATGCGAGACAAGTGCAATCCATTTAAACCATAAGATAACCTTTAGTCCATACCTTTTCTACACCATCACGCTTCGAACTGGAAACAGCAACAGCAGTCGAGGACCTCCTAACGCCAACACTCAAACTCTGAACACCGTTCTGCAAAGCCCTGGATTGAAAACTCTTCAAACAAAATCTAGAAACGTACACAGGCGAGCTTGTATGTGTGGCATTCTCGGTCCCAATGGTAGAACTCCCAGCACTGGAGACGCAGAAAGCAGAACTGTGGAGCAACGCCATGGCAGCAGCTTGCACAGCTGCGCTCCGCCACGCCGCGACTCCGACAAACCTAAGATCCAAACACAGCTGATGGCTATATCATAACTCACTGCCAACAAAGAACGCTACTACTCCCTGCAGCAGAATTCCGCACTGCCTCACAGAAATCTCTCAGGAAATCGACACCCAACCATCGAGCACTAGGGGGAGAGAGCAAACACTCCTCGCCCCGGGACAGTTTGCCGTGGATGCTGTGGATCATGTTCGCTAAGGTGGGGAACAAGATGGAACCAGCTGACGGGATCGAAGAGAACGAGGGAACGTTCGTGCCGCAGACGATGACGGGCGGCGATGCGGCACTGGAAGTAGAGATCGCGGTCATCATAGCTGTTGCTGCTGACGAACAATATGGATTGCTCCCTTCCAGCATGGAACAACGTGGATTAATTTTTTTTAGTTTATATTCCAGCATCCTTCACCAGGTTTTTGTTGGGTTCTTTTCTTTCTGTCGTAATGATATATCATGCCTCATTCTAACCTGTAACTACCAGGTTATATATATATATACATATACTCATACTAATGGAAACCCATGCCATTGGCCACAAAAAAGGTGTTCAACAACAAATATTTGTTAGTTTATTTATTGCTTGGGAGCTTCTAAGCTTCATTCCTTGTGATCTTGAAGTGCTACTCTTGGCAATGTGCAGCAACAACATGCAGATTTTGATCTCTAATTGATTAAAAGTTGAGTTAATACTTCGTTTTTTATGAAAACAATGAGATATGCAACCTATTAGAGAGGGTTTTTGTCTCCTTTGGTTTATCTTATTGATTTATTCCCTTAGCTATTTCATATATATATATATATATATTTACACACATACAAACTTGAAAAAACATTTATTGACAAATGATGTGTGCATGTTTTTTTTTTGGTTATTTTAGGTTTTGTTTTAATATATATGAAGAACCCATATTGTGGTACAATTCTAATAAAAATGAACGATAAGCTATATAGATATTTAAAATATATACACAAGTAATAATATGATCAAATTATATGTTGATTCTTAGAGTCAAATATTAAACAAGATTTCTAAAGTATTCTTTTAAAGGATCTTCAACAACTTGATTTTCAAAAAAAAAAAAAAAAAAAAAAAAAAAAAAAAAAAACAACAACAACAACAACAACAACATCACTTATATTGTACTAATACTACAATTAGCTTATTAATTCTATTGATTTTGGTTACATATAGTCTCATTCTTAAAATGCAAGAAAATAAAATCTCTTTCAACAAGTATACAAACTCATATGATATTTCCTACAAACAACCTTATGGTTGTATTTTTCATTTAAATAAATAAAAGCTAATCTTCATTAGAAACTAGACAATATAGATCTTAAGTCTTAAGATTAACCTTGCAATTTATGTATTTATTGTTTAATTTATCAATAATTTATCTAATACATATATATATATATATATATATATATATATATTTCTAATTTGTTCATATCAATTGTCTAAGACTATTCAATTTTGGAAATTCATCTGGTACAAACACTCATTGCTTATTTATTGTGTGAATACATTTACAATCCAAGAGTTATAAAACAAAACAAACTTAACATTGATAAATTCTAAAATTTGAATGATTACTCTCTATTTTTATTTTTATTTTATTTTTGTCAATATGTTATGTTGTATCTACTTCAAATTCCTACTCAAACAAAGATTGACTTCCATGTATATTTTTGATTGTTATAGGCTTATAGTTTGTGGATATTCTTTAACCTCCTTCAAGCAACTACAATGAATGAAATAACATTCAATGATAACCATAAAATAATAAAATAAAATAAAACTACTATCTATCCACATGCCCATCAACTTATTCATCCAATAAGCATTCATTTGATGATCATCTATCTATACATTCATCAAATGGATTGTCCAACAAATCATCCATGAAGAGATGATCCATCTACACATTAATTCATCCAAAAACTTATACATCCATCAATTTTCTCAGTTGTGGATTTAAAAGAAAAAAGATTGAGAGCTTGAAAAGTATTGAAAATATTTTAGAGAAAAGGACAAGAGTAGCTAGAAGTAATATGTACACACATATAAAACACATATATACATATATACATACATACATATACAAGAGATAGTTTATTGATATGGTTATATTACTTATATAAAGAAAAAGAGAATAGATAAACAATTTCTCTCCACTACATTTTAAACACTAGAGCCACAATATTTATTGTAGACTATAGTAAATAGTGTGGAAAATGCCAACTACATTTAATGCTCTCAAAACTCCTCCTCGCTTATCATAATATTTATATGCATAGAATTATGATCTATACTTTTCTATAATCTTACAAGATCAAGAGTTGCTGCCTCATTAAAATCTTATCTAAAAAAACCTTATTGTATTCAAAGATAAAATCATAAATAAAGGAAAAATAATACAACATTATTACAAGAGTTCATTAACTTTCTTGCTCAAAAAAAGCAAGTCGCTCAATGCCAATGCCATAAGTAAGTCAATGATGGTTGCACAATGGAAGAGTTTTGGTGAAAAGATTAGCAAGGTTATTTGCGGATTCAATTTTTTTGATCCTAAGTACTTGATCAGTAATCAAATCATGAATATAACTAAAATACTTTGAATCAACATACTTTGTCCTATTGCCTTTAATTGAATCAACTTGCATTTATATAACACAAGTGCTATTATTTTCATATAAGATAGTTGGAGAATCATCATATGAAAATCCATAAGTTGTTTGAATGAGCTTAGAAATTAATCGCAACCAAATATATTCTCAAGATGCCTCATGTAAGGCAATAATTTCTATATGATTGGATGAAGTTGTAATAATAGTTTATTTCATTGATTTCTATGATATTGTAGCTTCATGCCTTAAAAATACATAGCTTGTTTGAGATTTAGCTATTGCAATATCAAATTTATAACTTTCATCAAAATATCTAAATTCAAATAGGACCAATTGATTTCAAGTGTCCAAAGCCTTTCTAATCTATAGCAATATAAAACTTTATTACAAAGTAGGTGTCAAGGACATGAATCTCGAAGAAAGAAAATCCTCAATACACTCTTCTATCATTGAAGAGAACTAAAAAGTCACTCAAAAGGTGATGTAATATTAACTAAAATGGCTATTGCTAAAAACAAGAAGACTAGAAAGTCTTGAAACAAGACTAAGACTAGAAAGATATTGATAAGAGTAAAGAAGGCTTCACTCTTGCCTCCATATATACTATCTAACTAAGAGCTACAATAGCAATGTCATATAGGACCTCCAACATGTGTTGACTTTGCTAGCCACATGTCTTATTTTGCAAGGCAAGTTATCTATGTATACACCATGTAGTTGGCTTGTCCCACAAGCTACCAATATATGGTTAGCTTTTTGGCCAAGTTTCTAATCTACAAACATATCTAAAGTCAAAATCGCATCTATGAAGCTTCTAGGATGCTTCTCTAGAAGACTTTATGAAATTATTATATATTTATCTACTTCTATATAATCATATAAGTAACTATTGAGGTAAATATATATGTCTGTGACAATACCTCCCTTTCTAGGGACGAGTTCCATGAGGAGCGGTCTTCATATGTTGAAGAAGTCCAAGATGCGACAAATTATATTTGCTACATACTCCTATCTTTGCTCTATTTGAAGATAGTTGATAGGTCCTCTCAACCATCTATAGTGTCCCATACCACAGTAAGAAGACCACCCTGTTATTTGGTCATTGTTGAGGCCTTCATAACTTCCTTCAAATAAAACATTTGGAACACCATCAAGAGTTGTTCCTACCTCTAAAAAAATCACTAAACATCGGGAGTCTTGAAGGTTGTGACAATTGCAATATCTCATCCTATAAGTCTACAAATGAAAGCTCTTGAATTGAATCTGCTAGTTGTTAATGCTTCATCTCATCACAATTATACAAAATCTATAATGAAAGATAGAAGGTAGAATGTTATTTTCCTTTGATCTTCTTTCTTTTATAATAAAGGTTTGTTATTTTTTATCTTGGTTTTGATGGATGTTGTTGATGAAAGTCTTCAACTTTCTTTGTTACATTTGCAAGATTCTTTGATGGCTCCTATGTACATTCACTAATAACATATCCATGCCAATGAACAAGATATTCCAACCTACTTCAGTGCCACCTTGAGCATAAGACTTCTTCTACCTCAAACTCTTGGTTATTATCCACTTCTATAGGAAGAGGTGGCATTTGTCTTCTTCCCAAGATTTTCACTATCTTATATGGCTCTAAAAGAGATATGTGAAATACAGAGTAGATTTTCATAGACTTTAGTAGATATAATTGATAAGCAACATGATTGATTTGTTCACAAACAGAAAAAGGTCCCAACCTAAGATAATCCAACTTATGACACGGATAAGTAGTCTTGATATTATGACAAATTAACCATACTTTGTCACCCATATTATATTATAGTTGCTCCTTGCGATAGGTATCTGTATTGGTCTTTTGTCATTCATGAGCTTCCTTTAATTGTACCTTCATTGTTGTATGAAGCTCTGATAAGTGATTTGCTAAATTGTCTACCATAAGATTATCAAATTTTAAAAAGTCAAAAGTATCAAGATATAGATGATAATCATAATTGGCAAAGAAAGGTGTTTGTTGAGTGGAAGAATGTACCAAATTATTATATGCAAACTCTGCTAATGGTAAAAGAGTTGTCCAATCATCTTGATGATAGTTGATGGTATATCTCAAATATTCCTCCAGAATTTGATTTATCCATTGTGTTTGTCTATCAATTTTAAGATGAAAAGCCAAAGAAAGCTTTATATCCACCTTTAGAAACTTGAATAGGATTCTCCAAAATCTTGATACAAATTGAATCTTCCTATCTAATATAATATCTTTTTGCAATCCATGATAACAATAGATATTGTCAATGAAAAGCTTAGCTATTTCTTCACCTGTGATAGATTTTGTATATGGTATAAAATGTGTCATCTTGATAAAATGATCTACTATCACGAGTATAGAGTCATAAGAATCTGAGGTTCAATGATCCATGATGAAATCCATAGAAATAGAAGACCATGGTTGTTCTAGAATAGTTAATAGCTGAAGAAGTCCGTAAGGTCGATGACGAAGAGTTTTTGATCTTGAGCAAACATCACAAGATTGTACAAAATCTTTGATT